TTTGAATTAATTTTTTTTAATAATTGAACAAATTTCCGTTGATACAAAAAAAAAAAAAAAATGATAATCCCTAATGAGTGGTTAATATAATTATAATAAATTTAAGAATAAATTGATTAATTAATTTTTAGTGTATAATAATAATAATAATAATAACAATATTAAATAGATTATTAATTTGTAATTTTTAAAGTATTTTAAAAAAAAAAAAAAAAATTTTTTTTTTTTATTTTGTCAAGTGTGCCAAGAAAGATGATGAATATATAATAAATTAATATTTTTTTTTCTTTCTTTTTTAATTTAATTTTTTTTTTTTTAAATATTTGTGTGCCTTGCACGATGAAAAAATAAATTTTTTTCTTTTTTTTTTTTAATAGGGAATTTTTTTCTTAAGTAGCATAAAATATATTGTAACATTATATATAAATATATATTTATATATTAATTTTATCTCATAGAATTTGAAAACATGACACATTTAAAAATGAATAAAATTTTTATATATATCTTTGATTGTAATTAATTAATTAATTGCCGAGTAATAAAAATCCGACAAAAATTCTTTACATTTTCGTTTTTTGAATAAAATAAAATAAATAAATAAATAAATAGAAGAAGAAGAAGAATGTTGTAAAATTTTATAAAATACAGAATGAGAATACATAGACCCAATTATTTTTCCTACAAAAATTTTTAATGTAATATAATTAATTGTATCACAAATGACCAAAATTTATTATATATTGTAATAAAAAAACGTATTTTAATTTTAATTTTTTTTATAATGAAAATCATCAATGTTTATTATTTTTTAAATGATAATATCGAAACATAAATATTTTAAAATGTACATACATATATAATTTGATTAATTATTATTATTATATTATTAATTTTTTTTTTTAAAATAACCCAAAATTTTTAAAAAAATATTTAAATAATAATTTATCCTATTGATGTTGATGGTTTTTCTTTTAATTTTAACCCGGACGTGGTTGATATGGATGATTTTTTATTCGACGGTATTATTAAACCCAAATTTTGTGTTAATTTTTTTACATTTGCCTTATTTTGAAATGTTTTTAAATTAGTCAAACCATCTTTGAATGATTTTTTTATAATTATATTTTTCTTTGGACTTTTATTTGTTTGAGATTTTGATAAATATTCTGTTATAACGTCCTCTTTATTTTTATTTATTTTATACGAATAATCGCGAAAACGTTTTGATTTTTCATTATCCTCTTCTTGTTCGACTCCTAAATTTTTACTTTCGGTATTATTTATGGAATTAATATTTCCGTTTCTTATATCGTTCGTAAACGAAGTTTCATCTAAAAATCAACACCGAATTATTATCATTATTATTATTAATATGTAAATATTGTATAATAATAATAATAATTAAATACACACTTATGTGATTATCAACATCATCGTTTTCAAGACTGGAATAACTGGCTGTCGTACCATCCGAATCGCTAATATTTTTTTCCAGGCCTGGAGATGAACTTTCTGATGATGTTGATGATATGGAATTTTGATCACTATCCTCCGACCATTCGGAATCACTTTCTGTTGAATCCGTTTCTTTTTGTACTACCCCCCCCCCCCCAAAAAAAAAAAAAATTATTATTAATTTTACTTTTGCCGCCTAATTGCTTTTGAAAACTTGATTCTGGAAATAATTTATTATTCGGTAGTCTTGGTAACCAAAGTTTAAAAAAGGTTAAAAAGCAGTACTTTGTTATAAATAATAAAAAATAAAAAATAAAATAAAATAAAAAAAAAACTCAATAATAATAATAATAATAATTTCAATTTAAATTTTGCCCGAAAAAATTTTTCTTTTAAAAAATGCCTTGGGAATCCTCGGTATCTAAAATGAAAGCTTTCCAGGAGTTTTATAAAAAAATAGAAAGGATTCCAGATACACTAATGGAACTTCATTATGATCCGCCCATGACTTATTATAATAATTTAAAAACCTATCCTAGTTTTGTGCCATACGATCTTTATCATAATTTCGATGAAAATTTCGATTCTAAATCGAGTAGAGACGATCGTAGAAGATTAGGTCCCATATTGGAAAATATATATAAGGAAGAAGAAAAAAAATTTGTACCGATAACAAATCAACTTTGGTACGGTAGACCGGTACTATTTGAAAATCTATTAGATTTTGAATCTCGTTTTAATAAACCGTCAGCAACGAAAGATTTCTACAGGCGACAAGGAATAAATATAACACCTGAACTTGAACAAAAACCTGAACATTGAAATTTTCTTCTTTTTTTTAAAGGCTCAAGTTTTTTCTGTTTTTTGGTTCTTAAATTTTCCAGACTTACTTACGTTCAAGTTTTTGAACTATCAAAGGAAAAAATTCTTTTGCTGTTGAATTGTTTGGTTCATAATTTAAAACTGCAATCAAATAAAAAATTAATAAATAAACCTTAGCAAATCAAATTGATTTTTTTATTTGATACTTGACTCATTAACTCCATTTTTTATTGGAAAATTCAAATAAAATAAAAAAAATTCTTACTTGATTGACAATGAACCAATGCTTTTTTATAGTCTTTCATCATAACAGCTGATAAAAACTATAATTAAAAACAATTTTAAATATAATAATAATAATTGTTTTAATAAAAGTAAAATGGATTCTTATATAATTTTAAAAATATTTTTTTTTTTTTTATTATAATTACTTCGGCTAATAATTCGGTTGGTGCTGATATGCTTTCATCCGCATCTGCATATTCACTTAGGTCCTCGGTACTTTCGGAAGTAACACCTAAATTTTCAGGTATGTTCCCGTTTATTTCTTTTAAAGACATTTTTGTAAATTATTAAAAAAATTTCATTTGATATAATGCGTACATTTTCTGTAAGAAAAAAAATGATAATTTTCAATTTACATTCGGTTACCGGAGACATCAATTAATATATTTTTTTGGTATGTATATAGTATCTTAAATAAATTATTTATGAATTTAATTGTTATTATAATTTAAAATATTAAAAATTAAACTTATTTACCGATTTTAATATCATATTTCCCCCTTAAATTTATTTACAACTTCCTGAAATTATATGAAAGTTTTGTTTACATTAACGGTTAAGATAAATATTTTAATAATTCAAATATAAAAACTTTACCGTTATATTAAATAATAATATATTTCTGATATGTTCATTATAAAATTCTGATAATTATTCGATTCGATTTGATTGTTTAGTTTTTTTTATAATAAAAAATAAAGAAAATTTTTTTATATTCGTTTTATATATAACAGACGCCTAGAAAAATTATATATAATGGCGTCAAATGTTTTTGTATTATATAAACTTGTCTTCATTGATGATAATAACTGCGCATGATTTCAATTTGACCGATTCTGTAAAAACATCGTTTTGGATTTCATGAAAATGTTTGATATCATAATAAAATTGATTATTATAAACATTAAAATTAAATAATTTACCGTATAATTTTTAATATATTATAATTTTATAATATAAGAATCAAAAATTTCCCATGACTCATTTAATATAAATGTAACAGGTAGTTGTTAAATTGTTGTGAATATAATATATTTGAATTCTTGCATATAATGGTCGAAGTTTTTATATATATATATATATATATACCGAACGAAAATATTTCCTTAAATTATTATTATTACTTATTTAAAACATTTTAACTAATTAAAAAATTTTTTTTTTTTTAAATAAGAACCGATATATAAAATAATTTATTAGAAATTTATTTACCCTACGTTACTTTTTACATGTTGTGAATTTAATAAAATATTATATTACGACATAGTTTATTTTGGATTATGTCGTCATCATCAATTTTCAATTTTCTCCCGCCAACTTTGTTAATGACGTCAATTGTTTTCCTTTTTAAATTCCACTTAAAATTATTGATTCATTCACAAATATAATTTGAACACACTCTAGAACATTCTCTGAAAACTGGTTTTTATTCTCTATGACATCATTTTAATTGCCTCTTTTCTAGAATCTTCTTTCTGTTCTTACATCTGCTCTCCGTTAAGTTTTAACCTCTATGAAAAAATATTATTCCACTTTAAATAATTTCTAATTTTTTTTATTTAAAAAAAAAATTTTAATTAATTATATTAATAATAATAATAAGCTAAAAATTTTTAAGCGTGATTTAGAGAGAGAGAGAGAGAAAAAAAAATGGCCATTTTGACCATTTGAAAAAATGTCAGAAATTATTATTATTATTTTTTTATATCAATTCTTATTAGCATTAATAAATTTTATTGAATAAATAAATAAATAATAATATTCGAAATAATAACATAATAATACAAGTAAAAAATTATAACAAAAGAAATTTGAATGATATTTATTTTACTGACATATTATTTAATATTATTATTATTATTATTCGAAAGTTAATACATGTAACGATATGTCGCTGCCTTCTTGAATTTGGCATTCGTGTAAGAACGCACGAGTTTATGAATCATCATCATCATCGTGTGATTATTTTCTACCTAATGACAATCAGTTTTTAACAGAATCTTGTCCTAGTTAAACGTGATTATTTTTGTTTATTGAAATTCATCAGTAAAGCAGAGAAAATATTGTTTTTTTTTTTTTTTTAAATACTTAATTTTAAAAATTGTTATTTTTTTTAAAAATATACTGTGATTGGAAATAATTGATTTGAATATGAAGGTATTTTTGATTAAATTTAATTAGATTAATATTATTATTAAACGTAAGTGTAATTTTATTTTTAATAACAGTAAATTCGTAATCGAAAATTTTTTTTCTTTTCCCCTTTGTTTTGTTAAAAATTTAATTATTATTAATAATAACATGTGATAAAAGTAAAATATTTAACTCTACAAATAATACCCGAGATATCATCTATCTTTTATCTTCAAATCATATTTAATTTTTTTTATTATTATCATCATGTAATTTATCGTATCAATTATTCAATGAGAATTAAATTTAAATAATTCTTTAAAAGTTAATAATTTATTTTAATTGATTTATATGGTTTTTTTTTATTGTCAATCTTAATTGACAGTATTGGATTCATTTATATATAGTAAATTTATTATTAATAAATTAAAATTATGAAATTATAAAATAACGGCAAGTTCGTTTATTTCAATATTAAAATATTATAAGCCAATTTAATTTGATTCTGTTATACACTGTCATGTGACTTTTTAGGAAACATTTTTTAGTTTAAGTCTCTTCATAAGCTAACTAGATAAATTTTTTTTGTAAATTTCGAATGTTGAACGGTTACGAAGAAAACCGGTATATTTTATTCGGTATTGATAAATAAATTAAGTTGTTTTGAATTTAAACCCTAATTTTAAAAAATTCCTGAACAGGGTTAAAACTTGATTGGTTGACGTACATTCTCACATTTCTGATTGGTTTTTTATATCATTATGTTCAATGCGAAAATATGACGTCACCAATGTTATAAATAGATGTGGTTGCCACGTTGAGAGTTATTATCCGCCAAACACTTGTGTTGTATCTGTCAATAGTATTTAAGTTCGAATTTTGTTAAAAAAGCTCAACTTTAAGTTATTTTTTTTACAAGTTTAAGTGCAGTATTAGAAAGCTTTTATTGTGTTTTAAACTTTGTGCCGTATCGTAAAATATTATTATTGTCGGTTTTTTAATTTTTTTAAAAAAATTAACTTATTGCGTCATTTCTCATAAGTGCTTTATGTTGTCTGTATAACTGTCATAAGGCAATAAAACTTGAGCACTGCAGGTAAAAAAATTATAAATTTAAAAAAAAAAAAACACTTGTTCTTTTTAGCGTTACATTAATTAAAATTAATAAATCTTTAATCGTTATAAAGAATTAGGTCAATTGTGATATTAATAGACTTTGACTTGACAACGATTTTCAACTTTTTTCAGGTGAACGAGGCAGTCAGTCTCTTTACCTTTTGAATTATTTCATCGCTGTCACAATTCCTTTAGTACATCACGGCGAACTAACTGTAAGTTTTATTTATTTTAACGAATTTTCTTAATGGTTACGTTATAATTTATTATTTCGAATAATTAATTATTTATTATAATGAATAACTGACCTTAAAATCAATCAATCGAACAAACAAATTTTTTGATTGTTTTTTATATTTTTGTTATAAAGCAATTATTGACAATAATTTACTATTTTAGTCCCGTGCAAGATGCATACCTCTGAAGCATCTGTTGAGTTCTACTCGTGGCGTGAAAGATTGCCCCAATTCCAACATAAAATCTACAGAAACAAACTTGCTCTTAAAAACATCTGTGTTGCAGGTATGGGGCCGTTAATATTTTTTTTTTTTTTAAATAAAAAAACACTAAAATAATTAGTTTCTTACACATTTAATTTTTTTTGCATTTTAGGAGGAGAAAGAAAAAATTGTAAAAAGTCAAACTTGTTCAAATTTCAAGATGAAAAATTACAACTCAAGTCGGGAAGACCAATCAGAAAGAGAAATGTTTTACGAATTTTCAAACAAAAAGAAAATGGAGTGCGAAAGATATCAAGATTGCAGCTGGTTTCAGCAAGACTTTCTAAAGGATTTGTCAAAAAGCAAACTGTCACCGGGTGAAAAAGAAGAATCTAATTTCAGTTTAAATGATTTTGATTTGGAAATGCAGTATGCGAATGATCATACCATTCCTCAGGTTGAAGACTACCTGGAGGTTTTTGATGATGATGTTTTCTTAGATGGGAATGGGAAAAGCTTGGATGTTGTAAATAAATTCAGTTGGAAATCGGGAGATGATAAAATAACATTTCCAAATGATAATTTAAATTGTGATTCTCATAATGCTTTTTGTGGCCTCAAGAAAACAGATTCATTTGATAGCATTGAATATATATCTTCAAATCCGGCCGACATTGTACCCATTACTCTAATGGAATGTATGAACAATTCCGGAAGTGGTTTGATGGGAATAATAAGA